GCTATACAGAGAAACCCTATCTCAATAAACCAACCCCCCCAAAAGAAACTTCTAACAGATCACAAAATATTTAGATACAAATGAACTTTCTAAATGTCTACTACAAATAGACATTTAGACGAATTCTCTTTAATGATTTTAAAAGGAAGATCTGAGTGCTGGCTCAGTGGTTAAGAGCACTCACTGAAACTAACCCAAGTTCAGTTTCCAGCACCCACCCACATAGTGGGTCACAACCATCCATAACTCCAGTTCCAGGGGATTCAACACCCTCCTCTGACTTCTAAACACCAGGCCTGCATGCTATGCACAGACATACAAGCAGGAAAAATACCGTCTTAGCTAGGGTTTTATTGCTGGGAAGAGTAACCATAACCAAGGCAAACATTTAACTGTGGCCAGCTTAGTTTCAGAGGTTTAGTCCATTATAGTCACAGCTGGGCACATGCCAGCGTGCAGGCAGACACGGTGCTGGACAAGGAGCTGAGAGTTCTGCATTTTGATCTACAGACAGCAGAAGGAGACTGTGTGCCACACTAGGCAAAGCTTGAGCATAGATCTCAAAGCCTGCCCCACAGTGACACACTTCCTCCAACAAGGCCACACCTCCTAATAGTGCCACTCCCTATGGGCTAAGTATTCAAACACACAAGTCTACGGGGGCCGTTCCTATTCAAACCACCACAAACCCATACTCATAAAATAAACAAATCCTTAATAATAAACAAAAATGATAAAGCTTCCACAATTTCTAGCCTTTTAACTTTTCTTTTTTTTCCTTTCTTTATTTTCCTATTTTTGAGGTAGAATCCTGTGTAGATCAAGCTGGCTTGAGCTCACAGAGACCTACCTGCTTCTACCTCCAGAGTGTTGGGATTAAAGTATGGGCAACCACATCTGGCAGCCTAGCTTTTTACAAGCTAGAAAGTGACTGTTTGCCTCAGGTTCTGTCCTCTCTAAGGAGGACTCGTGACAAACTGGTGGTGCTTGCTCATGGGAAGATGTCTGGATGTCATATGGGTCACCCACTGGTGACAAAGAGTCTTAGAAGCAGTGAGGGTAGTTGTGGTGGTTTGAATATGCTAGGCCCATACGGAGTGGCATGGTTGGGAGGTGTGGCCTTGGTGGAGGAAGTATGTCACTGTGAGGGTTGGGTTTTGAGACTCTCCTCTTAGCTGCTTGCAAGTTAGTCTTCTCCTGTTTGCCTTCAGAGCAAGATGTAGAACTTAAGATTCCTCCAATGCCATGCTTCCTGACATGATGCTAATGGACTGGACCTCAGAACCGGTAAGCCAGACCCAATTAAATGTTGTCCAATGAAAGAGTTCCCTTAGTCATGGTGTCTCTTCACAGCAATGAAAACCCTACGACAGCAGTGTTCATCCACTGTAGCAATGTTTTAGTAATACACATTCTTAGAGAAATTTCTCAGCTGGAGCATATTTCAATTTAGAAAAGATCGCCAAATTGGCTTCTAAGAATGAACCAATGTACAACTCACTTGCTGCTAGTGAGTGACCACTTTTTTAATCTCAGTTATCTTTGCTTTAAATATATATACACATATATATTACATATGTATTTAAAACATACATATTAGATTTTATGAGTGTTTTGCCTATGTGTATGTATGTATACTTTCATGCCTGATATCCTCAGAGGTCAGAAGAGGGTGGTGGATCCCCTGGAACTGGAGATACAGATAGTTGTGAGCCATAATGTGGGACCTGGGACCAAATATATGTCCTCTGGAAGAGAAACAAGCTCTTAACCTCTGAGTCTCTCCAGCCTCTTGCCAACACAATTTTCATTTGTGTAAATGATGATGTGGTTTTATTGTATTCATGAGTGACAAACTTTTCACTTAAATGCCTTAGAAGGCTATTCATTTCCTACTTCTATTCTGGTTTTCTTCTGGTCTTGAGTACTTTGGTGAAAGGTTTTATTTATACCTACACATTAGAGTTAAGAACATAAATTCCTGTCCTTAGTTTAAGTAGTCGTGAGCTCTAGAAAAACGGTTTGTATATACAAGCATACATGAGATCACTCCAATGTGCACAAGATAGTGAAAGGAACCACAAAAAAATACAAAGGGCAAAAAATGGACAAGAAGTAGCAGTGAACCATGGGATGCTATGGTGCATAAGGAAGCTAGTGAGGGCTTCTCTGGTCAAGAGATTTGAGAAAGCACCTTCTTGAAGAAAGCAAATACGTCATCCACAGAACTGGAGAAGAATTCCAGGCAGACGAAAGAGGCCAGAAGGATACGAGTTGCCATTGACTGAGGAGGCAGAGGCATCAGAGAACAGGCAGTGGGTGCTACGTAGACTACAAGTTCATTAGACTTGGGACCATGTGAGATGGGAAACCAGAGTTCTGAGATGGTGGAGGATGGGGGAGAAGCAAGCCACTACAACCTGAGATAAGACAGATGGCAGGCGATGCAGAACCTGCGGACGAACGTTAGATCCTCTATGGATCCACGTTCCGTCAGCCCTGGACTGGAAAAGCAAGGAACCAAGCAGAACACTCCAAAATCATCTCAAGCTGGTTGTAGTAGAACATGCCAGTAACTCCAGCATTCAGAGGCGGGAGTTCAAGGCCACCCTGGGCTACATACTAAGTTCAAGCCTGACCTACATAAGCCGTTATCTTTTTTTTTTCTTTTCTTTTCTTAAATTGACCTATCCAAATTGGTTTGGGGAACAATGAGTAAGTACAAGAGGTTAGACCACAGCATAAGAATATAAAGTAAGAGGTTAGACCACAGCATAAGGATATAAAGTATATTCTCTGCGCATGGCACCAGGGGGGGTTAGAGAGGCTGAAATGCATTGAGCTGTGCACCGGGAAGGACTGGAGCAGTCTTTAACTCACACTAAGACACTCTGAGTTAACTAATGGGGCACTGGGACAGAGTTCAAGCTTTAGGTCACGGTTTCAGCACTGGATGCTGTGTAGTCTATCCTTTCTCACACTGATCTTTAAAAGGTTTTGTTTACTTGTTGTGGGTATGTGTGTATTTGTATGGGCTCGTGTGACACGCACATGCATGGAGTCAGAGGACGACTTGTAGGAGTCTCTTCTCTCTTCCACCATGTAGACAGTAGGACTCTGGTCATCAGGCTTAGCGGCAAGTGCTCTTACCCAGAATCATCTGTACCTTGGTAAATACTCAGCTTCCATGCCTCTGAACTCACTAAAGTCAAAGTCTGTCATGTTAAAGACAAGCTGTACTTGCTCAGTAGGGAGCTATTTGTGAAGTCAGAATAGAGTAACTTTTGGCAGAGCAAGAATTCCTTGTTTTCAGTTGCAATGAAGAGTAAACCTTCACTGTCCTTGCCTTAGACTTTCACCTAAAGACATCAATAAGTTATTCTGAAGGCCTGTGCTAACACTGAAAGGCTTTTCTACCTACCTGAGATCACAGCTTGAGCAATAGGCCACAACTTCCTTCAGCAGGAAGGAGTTCACTTCCAGACTGGCATCAATTAGGGCCCTCTGACTTGTGAGGAAGATGCCTCTAACAGGGCCCCAAGCAAGTGAGGGCACAATGCTTTGTGATTGGGGAGACCTTAGTCCACAGTCTTTCTCCAAGCCAAGTAAGTCCTGTTCTTCCCAGTTGTGCATCCTCCCCCCAGGCCCAGCATCCTGCACTCCATGCTTTAGTGAGACCAGATGAAGAGCCGCCTGAAGCCTCTGCACAAAAACAAAGGCTTCCTTCTCCCAAGACTGCCGGCATCAAATACAAGGGAGTCTGGTGGGTGGGCACCTGAAATCCCAGCCCTCAGGGGACTGTGACCACAGTACCTTGAGTTTGATGTCAGCCTGTGCCATGCAGCAATCCTAGCTCAAAAATAAACAAAACTGAAGCAATAGCAGACAGTGTTGACGACAGGCACTGTTGGTGAGGCGATATTCTTTCCTTTCCTCAAAGGCTGGAGTTGGCTGAGGTCGGAGAGTAGAGGGTGCAAGGTGTCCTGACTCTCCACTACTGCATATACCTTTAGAAACAAGGTTTGTTCATATGGCTACTCGGCTGCCTAGACTGCTGAAGAACTCACAAGGTAGAAGCTGACGTAAGTTAAAGGCTCTCAATTTCCTGGGCAACACAGGGAACTGGGGACTAAGGAGGACTTGATTACAGTAAGGCAGTTTCATCACTTAGTATCTTCAGTATAAGAAGCAAATTGGAAGATGTTTGCAGAGTTGTATTTTGGTTGAAAGAAAATATTTATTTTCTTTTATTGTCTTTCAGATACAGAACATTTTTTCTGGCTTGACCTGTTGAGTTTGCCTAATTGTTTCAGTTGAGAGATTTACTTAGGGAATCTGCTCTCTGACAAGCTTAGAGCAACAATGGTGACAAGCAGAGGGGACGCAGGCGCCAGCACGCTGGACATCAGGCGACTGATGCTTACTGTCCTATACTGAACAAGCAAAAGCCCGAATGCTGCCCGCAGCTGTGCTCCCCTTTGGTGCCCAGCGTTCCACCAAACTCTGTTTCCAAATCAGTCCCCACTTCAGAGTCCTGACCCCTGCTTTCCTCATGTCTAAGTAAAACTGTCTTCTGTCCCCTCAGCAGCCCTTGTGTCCTGCATGAAGTGACAGGCCGCTGAGCACTCTGTTCCGAATAGTTGGTAAGCACTTCGGGTAACACCAAATAAAACTGGAAACACTCTACTGTGCACCACTATACTGTGAGAATAAACACACCTTTGAAGCTTAAGAAAAGTTGGTCTGTGTACATCATTTTACCTGCTTTCCTTCTGGACACCTGTGAGGAGGCCAGAGAGACCAGAGGAAGAAATGGCCGTTCAGCTGACTTCTTATAACCAAAAGGCAGCTGCTCTAAAACTAGGATACATACGTTTCCACCGTAAAGTAATTCCTTTCTAAAATGAAACCACTTATCACCTTAGTTTACAACTGTAGAAGAAATGCCAGAGCTGAAATATAACAAAAAACTATTTTATTATAAAATACATGGTGAGAGGGAGAGTACACAAAACAAAATTACAAAAGAGAAAAGGCAGAAACCAGAGGTTAAAAAGTAGCTGTTTGTATGGAATCGCTTTTGAATAACGCAGATGAGGCTGCCAGAGCACAGCCATCTGTTAGAAGCTGTGCTACCGAGAGTGACCCTCTGCTGACAGGCTGCTACTGCGTCTAACCGTGCTCTAAAGCAAAGCATAGCAGCTCCAGACCGGATTTTCACAGTGCAGCCATGGCTTAGGCAGGGTTCTGGGAGAGACTTGACTGCTTGTCTTCCTGAATGAGCAAAGCTTCCAGACTAATTACCTTCCCCAACTTCCACAGGGCTTTGTTCAGGTGGCTGTGGAATGTGGGATCAAAAGCCCCACTCATTTCTGCGGCAAGTTCTCTCAGAACAGACACTGTGGACTTGTCACCGGCATTCAGAATCCGCACAAAGAATTTATTCCACAGTTCACCGTCCTTTAGTCTAAAAAAATATAAAAAATAATTTCTATCAAGATTGGGCATGTGGAAATTAGAATTCTTTCTCAATTTAACTCAGCAGTACATGGACGTGCCAAAGTGATATAGGGTAACAGCAAGAAACCTAAGGCTGGAGATCATTCAAACACTCTTGAAGGCACTGGGAAGAACTATAAAAGTAAGTCTGCCGTGGTGGCCCTGAACACACATAGAAAGAAGGAAATCTACTCTCGGTCGAACCCACAGCTCTCCTCTGGCCGATACTGTGCAGTGACACCCGCTAGCACTTCTCCTCCACAAACAGTCAAAAAAAAAGAAACTTCCACTCCCCAGTAGCTCTCTCACTGAAGGTCCCACCTCAGGCACCGTCACCCTCTTCTCCGAATCCTGAACTTGATTGACGTGACTTGCTTTTACTCTCCTTGTCCCTTATCTGTAGAAAGCACGGGTGTTGACAGCACACCCTGTCTATCTCTGCTTGTGTTAATTAACTACACCTAGCAGGTCCACAGCTAGCCTAAGATGCCTGTTACACCTGCACATCTCAAAGTATGCTTCAAGCAATTTCATTAACTTAAGTTCTTTGTTGTTGTCTGAGACAATATCTCACTGTGGAGCTCTGGCTGGCCTTGAGCCTCTGCCTTCCATGTGCTGGGGTTAAAGGCCTGAGCCACCATGTCAGGCTCAAACCTACTTTTAAAAATATATGCAAGAGGCAAATGTGATTGGCCAAGTTCCAAATCAAATGGAGAAGAAAATACAACTTAATGTTTTGGAGAGGAAAGCAGGGAAGGGACATTAAATCTTCAATATTGATTTAAAATTAACTCAAACTTAAGAACAGGCAGGCAGGCAGGCAGGCAGGCAGGATGTCATTACTTGGAGAGCTTATGCTGGCAAAGGTGAGTTAAAGCAGAATGTAAGCTATCTAACAGGTTCCCAAACAGGCCTGAGAGATCACTTATTCCTGCACTAGGAGGCTGGTTTGGGTCTACCTCTCATTAAATTATCTATCAGTAAGTACATAATAATCTAAAGTCAGTATACAATTTGGAAACTTAACTCTCTTCAAAAGACAATCTTTTGATAAACACAGCTCTTAAAGAGACAAACACCAATTGGTTAGAAAATTGGTTAATTCTTCTAAAACGTCTCTAATATTTCTAAGCTAAGAAATGTCCATACTCCGGTATGACATGGCAAGGTTCTGAATGCCCTGAAGTCAGAGCAGTCTAGGTCTTGTTTTCACTTGGCCATTCCTATCCCTGCACTAGTGCTCTGTAGACACTGAAGTGAACACAGAGACATCACTGCAACCACAGCACTTGGTTTAAAACACTCAGGTTGCCCACCACAGCAGAGACCGCTGCAGAGAGAGGGCAAACTATTGGGACAGGGAGAAGGTAGGACCCGGTACTTACTCAGAGGTATTTTGGCTAAGTTTCCAGAGGAGCCCATCCCAGAAGACATGAAGGTGTTCCCTGAACAACAGCAAGTGTGCTAGGTCCGCTATACCCAACAGATCCACCTGAAATCACAACACAGTCCATGAGCTAACGTGGCCTCTGCTTCCACTATCGACATATGTACACGGGCCTGGAAAGCAGAAACAGTGCTCATACATTTCAGGAGATGCTCCTTATCTTGACAGGTCAGGGAGAAGCTGCCCAAAGAAATGATCAGAGATAATTTAAGGACTTATTATTATGACTTTACCTTTTTGAGACAGAGCTTCTCTGTGTAGCTCCAGCTGTCCTGGAACTCACTCTGTAGATCAGGCTGGCCTCAAACTCAGAAATCTGCCTGCCTCTGCCTCCCAAGTACTGGGATTAAAGGCATGTGCCACCACTGCCCAGTTTAAGGGGTTATTTTTAAGAGTCAATTACAACAGATTATCTTTGTGAATTACCTGGATTACCAAATCACATCAGGACACCTAGTACATTTGCGTGGACTCAGCTGTGATCTACTGTGGCCCACATGACCACTTCAGGTACACACTATGTATCCAGTCAGCAGATACTTACATCTAGAGCTAAGTCAGAAGATGTGTTTGCACATGATGCAGCCTTGTGAGACGCTGCCCCTCCCCTAGTGCCCTCATCCACAGCACTCACTGCCCTCAATCCTGCCAAGTTTCATGGACAAGGAGCACGGGCTGCTGGTCTTCCTGTCCAGTGAGGAGTGAGGAGAATGACTGACAGATGACACGGATGGCGAGGAACACTTAATGTATTACTATGTGTGTGTTTATATCCCTGAGCACTGTGACAGGAAAAACGGTTAACTATAAGTCACTTGGTGATACAGTATCTGAAAACTGGGTCATCCAGGTGAGTCAGTGCAAGTAAATACCAGCTCTCAGGGCTTATCTAGGCAAGGAAGGGGTTAAGAATGCTTTGCATATTTGTCCAGGCTTGTCTTCCACTCACCTGGTAGGGAGAAGAACAGTTAGCCAGAATCTTTTGTCCTTCCAGGATCTGTGCAGTCCTAAAGCCACTATAGGCAAATGCATCCAACTGCACCCTCATGTCAACACTGTAGGAGAAGTCCACGATCCTCACAGCATGGTCGTCCTTATTTATATAGTCATAGGGGTCGTGGATTCTGAGGAGAGTCAAGAGGATATAACACAAACAGGCTGTTAAGCAGCTGCAGAAAGGTCAGCAGGTGTATCTTAGCCTTGCCAACAGTGCCCTCCAGTGGTTAGTTATGAAAATGCACACACAGAGTAATGACAAGGTCAGCCCAAAGGGTTAAGATGGCTTTGGTCACAAGGAATCTAATTTAAACTCTATCTAATCTAACCGACAGTGCATGGCCACCTTACAACATTCTCAAGCTTTTATACTACGCAGTAAGGACGGCATTAGAAGTGAGTTCTGCCCACTCAGGTGTCCAAGCCCTGTTCTTTACTATGACAGCTGGGCTTTCCAAGCAGCAAAGGATCTACCTCTGAAGTGTAAAAAACAATTTATAAGCTCTTTTTCTAGTGACCTGCTATCTACACTATTAAATTTCCTGTTTCAATTAAACCAACACTATATCTTACCTTATGTTTTTTGTTGCTTTATCTTTTATTTCATAAGAAAATACTTAAAAACACAAACTTACTATCAAGTAAGTATATTCTATACATTAGTTATCTGCATGACTCTCCAGAAACAATGCGCCCGAGGGGAACACTGTTTGTGTCACAGACCTCTACAGCACAAGGATTTACAGTTTACACCCGCTTCCGGTTTTCCTTGGCATAGATCCAACTTAAATGTGCTTTTATAAACTATAATCACTTAAAGCATTTTTTTTTCTAAGCTTGAGAGAATGTTTCACAAATTAATACAGAAGCATGACCTTTCTCTAGCTCTCTACTTAGCAACTAAGTGTTGCCACGGACAAAACCTCTCTTCCTCCTCTCCCTCTCCAGGGATCAAGACCAGGCCATCTCCTCTCCCTCTCCAGGGATCAAGCCAAGGCTAGCAAGAACTTTACCACTGAACAGTATTCCTACCTCACAATCTCATTTTCCTCACAAGTTATGTGCACAATAAACTGATTTACTTCATAAGCCGCACTCTCCGGGGCTGGAGATGGCTTAGAGGTTAAGGGTGCTTATTGTTCTTTTAGAGAGCCAGGGCTCAATCTCTATAAGCCACACAGTAGTTTACAACCATCCACAACTCCAGTTCCAGGTGACCCCATGCCCTAACCTCTAATGGCATCAAACATGCATGTGGTACACATACATACGTGCAGACAAACACTCATTAAGAAAATACATAGATATATAATTAAAAGTAACAAATAAAAGGCTCTCTGGTTTTTAATACTTACAACTCTATATACTATTTCCTGCCAATTTTATTAAATAAAATATAATGTCCTTTTACATTTTTTTAGTGTTCACAATTGGAGCCCAGGGCTTTACACATACAAGGCAAAGCACCCCTTCACCTATACACATAGCACCTATATGTTCCCAGCGCCCACATGGCAGCTTCATGTCCATCTGTCACTCCAGTTCCAAAGGTGCTGACTCCTGTCCTTGGTGGGTACCAGGCATGCATGTGGCGCAGAGACATAAAAGCAGAGAAAACACTCTCTTGTGCTTTTTTTTTTTTTTAAAGCCATAAGTACAAGAATTATTCATGGTTTAAAACAAAAAACAAAAAACAAGGCAGCCAATGAAGGAAAATAAAAAGGACCGACCTGTTCCTTAGGATCAGGCTCCTTGGACTCAAGTCTCCATGCACTACCTCAGCTTTGTGTAGCTTCTCCACTATTGTCAAAAGGTTATAAATAATCAGCACTATTATTTCATGAGTAACAAATTCACTGTGTTGGAGAAGATCCTGGAAACAGAAAGAGAAAAAACTACTTGTCAAGCTGTCCATCCGCAGCCTGCGCCCTGACGATCCCTGACGAACGATCGCTGCTGTGTGCATCCCTCTCAGTCCCCGCTGGGAGGCAGCTGGATCCCTGCCCCAGCTCTAACACTGAGATCTCCTTAAATCGGTAAGGATTTAGTGAGATTGGGGGTGAAGAACTAAAGAAAAGAGAAAGGTGCTTGCTGCCAAGCTGGAAATCCTTTTTGATCCATGAAATTTATATGGTGGACAGAGAGAAAGAGAGAGAAAGGACTCCTGCAAGCTGTTCTAATAGCCACATGCACGTACACACACACACACACACACACACACACATACATACATACACACACACACGTACACACACAAAGTAAAACATTAAAAAATTATGTTGGTAGCAAAACTGAAGAACACAGCACAGAACAAAATGGTATATTGTGTCTGTATTTTAAAGGTTTCCGGGGACATAGTACAAGCAAGACACAGATTTTATTTTGCTTTAAATGAATTGATAATTATTCGAGTTAGGTGGCCTGTTCATTTCTCCTCCCTGGCCCCTCCTCCCCATCTCTCAAGATAAAATGCTAAAAATTATCAAATAGGTACTTGATCAAAGCCACTTGTATAAGAAGTGGGATACAGCTTAGTGGTTGTCTAGACTGTATTGGGCTCTTGTCAATCCTCAACACTAAAATCCAAGCAACCAACCAACCAAGTATTACCTTAGGAGAGTCATCAATACTTTTAAGTTTTAATTGAATTTGTCTTTCTCTACAGATGGGATGTTGAGGTACACCTGTAATCCCAGCACTTGGAAGCCTGACGTAGAAAACCTTCCATAAAGTCAAGGCCAGCCAGGTCTATGCACTTACCACCAAGCCTCTGACTTCAGTCTGGTCCCTAGTACCTATGTATCGGAAGGAGAACTGACTTTATCCTCAGATCTCCACATGTACACCAAGCATGAACACACATTAAATGTTAAATAAATAAAAATTAAAACTGGACTAGTTCTTTTTTTTTCCCCTAAGACAACTTTTCTCTTTGTGTAGCTCTGGCTGTCCTGGAACTCAATCTGTAGACTGGCCTTGAACTCAGAAATCCACCTGCCTCTGCCTCCCCAGTGCTGGCATTAAAGGTGTGTGCCGCCACCACCTGGCTGGTCCATTTCTTTTTCTTTTTTTTTTTTTTTTTTTGGTTTTTCGAGACAGGGTTTCTCTTTATAGCCCGGGCTGCCCTGGAACTCACTCTGTAGACCAGGCTGGCCTCGAACTCAGGGCCGGTCCATTTCTTGATGATTGAAAGTAATTTTGTACTAAGTATCTTAAATTAATTATATTTCTCTCTTTCTCTCTCTCTCTCTCTCTCTCTCTCTCTCTCTCTCTCTCTCTCTCTGTGTGTGTGTGTTTGTGTGTGTGTATACATGACATAATGTGGGTGTTGAAAGCGGAGAACAGAACAGCTTACAGGATTTAACTCTCTTATCACACTTGGGGTTCTGGGGACCACACTCGGGCCATTAGATTTGGCAGTCAGTGCCACACCTGCGGAGCCATCTCTGCAGCTCTGGATGAAATGTCTTTCATAGATGTAGTATGTGTTTAGTATTATCACAAACCTGAAGGGTGGAACAGTTTATATACTGGTACCAAATGACATGGCCATCTTGGTACTGACAGCAGTTGCAAAGCTGGTCACAGTCCTCATTCAGACGCTCCTTTAACTTGAGGTTAATATAAAAGTCCCATGGGATAGGCTGAGGAGATGCCTGTAAGACATAATATTAGAACGCACTGATGGCTGGCAGACTGAAAGCACAGTTGGAGACAAGATCTCACAATGTAGTCCTGAATGGCCTAGATCTCTCTACAATACTGTAAGGGGAGGTGTTGATACTAAGGTCAAGTTCCCTAATTGGTTCTTGATTTGTCAATAAAGAAGGCAGGGTGCCAATTGCTGGGCGGAAGGTACAGGTGGGACTTCCAGGTCCCAGGAGGAAAAGGCAGACACAAGAAAAGAGGGGGCTTTTCTGCCATGCTTTGGAAGAAGAAGCACACAGCAATCAAGTAAAATCATGTAAGCTAGAGCCCGTAGCCTCCACTACAGGCAGATGGCCAAGGAGGTTGGCAGGGGCTAGCTGGGACCGGCCACTGAGTTCTGGGCGGGAGGAGACATGGAGATAACTGACTGACGAGAGCGTGCCTAGGTGCCAGGCAGGAGGTTCTGCACCCAGCCACTGTGCCTAATCTAAATAATACAGCTATCTGTGTGTCCTTTATCCGTGCATTCAAGGGTCTCGGGAATGGGCTGGTAACGCAACTCCTCCTGGAACAAAGGCAGGTAGAGAAAGAAGTTGCGATGGGGCTGGCGGCAGCCTAGCCGGGAGCCAAGCCAGTTAGAAAAGGAAGCAGGTCTGGGGGATGGTTGCGGCCAATCCTAGAGCTAAGAAGAGGCAGGGGTGGGGCTGGGAAGAGGCAGGGGTGGGGCTGGGAAGAGGG